ATATAATATAATCTATGATGGAATATTATAATCTATGATGGAATATTATAATCTGTGATGGAATATTATAATCTGTGATGGAATAAAATATAATCTATGATGGAATATTATAATCTGTGATGGAATAAAATATAATCTATGATGGAATATTATAATCTGTGATGGAATATAATGTAATCTATTATGGAATATAATATAATCTATGATGGAATATAATATAATCTATGATGGAATATTATAATCTGTGATGGAATATAATATAATCTATGATGGAATATAATATAATCTATGATGGAATATAATATAATCTATGATGGAATATTATAATCTGTGATGGAATATAATATAATCTATGATGGAATATAATATAATCTGTGATGGAATATAATATAATTTATGATGGAATATTATAATCTGTGATGGAATATATTATAATCTGTGATGGAATATAATATAATCTATGATGGAATATAATATAATCTATGATGGAATATTATAATCTGTGATGGAATATAATATAATCTATGATGGAATATTATAATCTATGATGGAATATTATAATCTGTGATGGAATATATTATAATCTGTGATGGAATTTAATATAATCATTAATGGAATATAATATAATCTGTGATGGAATATGATAATCTTTGATGGAATATAATATAATCATTGATGGAATATAACATAATCTGTGATGTATTATAATAATCAGTGATGGAATATATAATTTATGACACGGTATAGTCTTTGCGGGGATATTTCAATCTGTACGGAGTCTAGCCTGTGAGTGAGTGTAATGTGTGTCAGTGTACAGTACCTCAGGCGCCATGTACCCGACAGTGCCGACGCGGCCGCGCACAGTGCCGCCCTCGGGCACATCAACAGCCAGCCCGAGGTCAGAGATGCGCACGTGGCCCGCGTCGTCCAGCAGAATGTTCTCCGGTTTGCAATCTCTGAGATATCACTATTATTTACTACGACAATTTAAACTATGAAGTCTAGTTTAAACTAATAATATTTTTCCTAAGACTTTTGATATAACCATGTTTGAGGAGCCAATATTCTATCGTCTAATTATATAAGGTTATTTCGTATAATATATAGTTTAATTTGGATGCAAGAGATTAAAATGAACTGTCTAAACCGAGTTTCTCGATTATGAGGTCGTCAATCGGGACTGGACAATCACTCTTGATTGTTTTATGTTTATATATTTATATATATATATATATATATATATATATATATATATATATATATATATATATATATATGATACGGTGGCAAACGAGCACTAAAATAGCGAAGTGACCGTTGCCCATAGACATACGCAATTGCATATGCGTTGCCTACCTTTAATCGACGGAGGAGATGATGCACAGAAAGAAAATATCTTCCCTTTCCATGCATCCTTTCCTTATAAGAAAAATTAAGGTAAATTTATGTTATAATCAAATACAAGATTGACCTGTACCTGTAAACAATGCCCATCTTGTGTAAATGTTCTAGACCACAGGCAACCTGCGCGGCGTAGAACCTCGCGCGCTCCAGACCTAAGCCGGTGTCTGCGCCACACATGTTGTAGATGTGGAACTTCAGGTCTCCACCTGGTATATACATTTACATATTAAACCTTTTTTCCACTAAGACTAGACGAATATTCCAAGAAATTATTTCAATTGTAGGTGCCACAATGCAGAAATAGTGGTGTTAATAGAATTTCATGCTGTAAAATTAACTTAGAATTTTTTACTTTATAAATGCTAATGTTTGGATGTTTGTTAGGTTTCTCCAGAACAGCTGCATGGATCTTGCTGAAATTTGGCATATATGTAGAACATAGTCTGGAACAACACATAGACTACTTATGTCTTTTTTAATTCGACGCGGTCGGATTCGCGGGCGATAGCTAGTGTTGCAATAAAATATAGATTTGAATAAAGTTAAACTGACCGTTCATAATAGTTAGTACCAAACAGAGGGCATCTTTAGTCTCATATGCATATGCCAGATTGACAACAAAGCGTGAGTTTATTCGCTGCAAGATTTGCTTCTCGATCAACACCATCGCTTCTCCTTTACGCTTCTTTATTCTCTTCTTTTCTAACTTCTTGCACGCGTACATCTTGCCTGTTGCTCGCACCTACGAGGTCGTTTTAGGATTTAAAGTAGATTTTTTTTAATTCAAATTCCAACCAAAAAGTCCAAAAAAAGTGCCAATATTCTTTAAACAGATAGATAAACTAGTAAAATGGTAAAATTTATCTCATTGCATAGAACATGGCAATTCTTCGGAAAGTTGTATACCGCGAACAGACCTGACTGTACCTAACTGGAATTAGTTTACACACTAGATTTGTAATTTGCATAAGTAATCTTTTTTTTATATCATAAGGTGACAAACGAGCGAACGGCCACCTGGAATCGCTGAAATAGCGAATTGACCATTGCCCATAGATATAAGCAATTGCATATGCGTTGCCTACCTTTAATCGACGGAGGACAGGATGCACAGAAAAAAAAAATTACCTTTCCATGCATCCTCTCATCCGGAAAGTCCACTTCCACTTCCCATATTTTCCTTATAAGAAAAAGGTGGGAAGGGAAAGAGACTAAATTAGCCCTCCGGGACGCACACTCATCAGACTGTACGCGGAATTGCTTCCACTTGACTCCTGTCTTCTGTGTGGTCGTGGTATTTCACCGGGCGAGCCGGGACAATTCGTGCGAAGATGTTAAAGCCGGCTCTACCACTGTTGTCAAATCTTTGGTTACATCTATTTATTCTCTCTTATGTATCACGTATATTGTTATCTCACCTGACACGCACAGACCTCTCCGAAGCCGCCTTTACCCAGCACCCGGTACATTCTGAAGGTGTGTTGTGTGACAGGCTGCGCCTCCAGCCATTTCCATTGCAAATATCTATGAAAGTACATCGATCTCTCGAATTCAGCGAACGGTGCGCCTGCAAGGAAACTCTTCACACAGCGCACGCATTCCCCGAATATATCTTTAGATCCACCTGGAATATGAATATTTTATTTAGTAATAATATTAAATTCATCAGGTATACGTCCCCACCGAAGGGCTCGCTCTGTAGATGTTACGTGAAAGTCTATCTATAGGATGTCCCAAAAGGTTACGTACATAGGAAGGGGGATGATAGGGGTGGTCACAAGGGTCTCCAGAAAAATAAAATAAAAATTCCCCTCTGGGTATTAAAAAAAATAAATGGCATTTTTTAAAAGCTTAAAAATTTTACACCTTCTGGGGCAATTTTGAAACCGATGACCTACAAATATTGCTATATTAAAAAAAAGCTATTATGTTATCGTCAATAACTCTTTATCAATATGAAATTAAAAAAACAATACAACTAACAAAGATTTGAAAGAAAATTGAAATTGCCCCAGAAGGTGTAAAATTTTTAAGTTTTTAAAAATGCCTTTTTTTTTTATTTTAATACCCAGAGGGGAATTTTTATTTTATTTTTCTGGTGACCCTTGTGACCACCCCTATAATCCCCCTTCCTATGTACGTAACCTTTTGGGACACCCTGTATATTATTAGTTCAAATTCACACCGCTAGAAACCCCTGCCATGGTCAAAGGCACAAAATACTAAGTAGTATAGCTGTCTTATACATAGAATTAAAAATATAAAGTTAAAAAAAAAACTAATATAAATTAGTTGAATTTAATTAAAATGAAAAATGATCCTGGCAATCAAAACACTCATATCACGTAAAGGAATTAAAAGAAAAAAATAATAAAATCTTACATCAGATTCGTCTACATCTTAGTTACCTTCAAGCAGTGAGCTGGCGTCATCGACAACCGTTGGCACAACAACATCGGTGACTGCCTCGCCTCCCTCCTGCTTCAAATATCTG